GGTAATTTTCGGGCACTACTGCAATTCAGAGTTGATGCAGGGGATAAGGTTCTAGGCTCTCATTTAAAATTTTGTGGAAAGAATGCTAGTTACATAAGCAAAACAACTCAGAATGAGATAATTGAATGTTGTGGTGATGTGATCACTGACACGATCATATCTAAAATAAAAGAATCAAAGTTTTTTACTATTATGGCAGACGAAACGACAGATTTGTCGCTTAAAGAACAGCTAACCATCTGCATTAGATATTTCGACACTAAGAAATGCAACATTGAAGAAGATTTTATCAAGTTCGTTGATGTTATTGATCTAACTGGAGAGAACCTAGCAAACACTATTGTTCAAGAACTGAAAAAACTTAATGTTGATTTAGCTAACTGCCGTGGTCAAGCTTTTGACGGGTCGTCCAACATGAGTGGGGTTTTCAAAGGCGTACAAGCCCGAATTTCCCAGATCCAGCCTCTGGCAATGTACACTCACTGTGCCAATCACAGATTGAATCTGGCAATTAGTAAAGCTTGCTCTATTGCTAGCATTAGGAATACAATGGGAGTTATATCTTCCGTAGCAGTTTTCTTCCGTGATTCTCCAGCAAGATTTAAAATTTTGGAAAACGAAGTAAGGGAGAATCACAACCTGAAACCAGGAACTCATGGTCTGAAAAAACTCTGTGAAACAAGGTGGATTGAAAGACACGATGCTGTTCTGACTTTTGTGGAACACCTTCCTACACTCCCTGCTGCTCTAGAAAGAATTGCTAATTCTCCTCAAGGCAAGGGAAGCAATGCATTTGCTTTCATGCACTCTATCCTCTCATCCGAGTTTTTGGTCAGTGTGGTAGTGTTAGCTGAGGTCCTTGGAATAACCTTACCACTAGCACGTAAACTTCAAGCTGAGTACATGGACGTACTTAAAGCAACTGAGCTTGTAGAAGTCACTACAAAAAGCCTACAGGAAAGGAGAAACAACAGCACCGACACATTCAAGGAGTTATTCACTCAATCAACTAAGCTGGCGGAAGAAATGGGTACAGATATTCAGAAGCCCAGGACAACATCCCTTCAAAAAAACCGAGCAAATGTCCAGGCTGAAACGGTTGAAGAATATTATAGGATGACAATTTACATCCCATTTCTGGATTTTGTAATCAATGAACTGATGGCAAGATTTCCCAAAAATGAAATGGAATGTGTAGGTAAGCTACAACATCTTCTCTCACCAGATCTCAGTGATGGTCAAATAAGTGATATTCTTCAAGGAGCTCGTAAATATGAACATGATTTGCCGTGCTTCTCTGCTCTGAAAGGTGAGCTACAAATTTGGAAACACATGTGGTCCAATTCTGCAAAAGAAATGCCAAAACATCCTGCACAGGCATACAAGTTGGCCGAACCACTGCAAAATGTACAAGTTTTACTGCAGCTGCTGTGCACTCTTCCTGTGACGACAAGTACAGCTGAGCGAACCTTTTCTGCTTTGCGTCGTATGAAGACATACCTGCGAACGACCATGACGGAAGAGAGGCTTAATGGACTGGCATTACTCCATGTTCACCAAGACTTATCCAGTGAATTGAAAGCCGAAGAAGTCTTGGACGTGTACGCGAGGAAGCACAAGCGAAAGCTGTCTCTCAAGGTTTTATGAGAAGATGGTCGAATAAAAAGTAATTTTCTTTATGTTTTTACCTATATTGAAATACAGTATACTTATACTTATGTGTTGTGTATTTTTATCATATAAACAACATTTTGTAGATCTTAAATTCATGGTAACGGCTAACAGGTCGAAGTGTTCTGACCAGTATTTTTGAATTAAAATGGTAATATTCTATATTGATAATTCTAAAGTTCCTAATAAAAGGCAAACAAATAATTTTGAATACAACTGCATATTTTCGTATAAATAAGTTCATTTATTAAAAAAAACAGCATTATGTATTAAGTCATCGCAATTCACAAATCTCACTGTAATACATAATATTCCTTATTCTAAGTTTGAACCTTGTGCCCCCCCCAAGACAATTTTCTGGATCCGCCCCTGCTTTGTTCACAACTCCCCCTTTACCTTCGGAGGCAGTAGCTACTCCTATCTTATACTAGCAGAATTTCATCGAATCTTCTGACTTCGCCAAGACCTGGACATGTTATTATGCCCAGATGTATACTTTCAATCCCACAGATCCTACAACCCTTGTGCCAAGACACAAAATTATCTCAAACAATTGCATCTATAAAATCAGAATCTAAGCCGTGGTCTAGAACACCTGTTTTGATAAACATTTCCCTCTACAAATTTAGTAAGCAGCAAACAAATAATATAATTTTTTTGACAAGCTGTCAAGGATACTGTGAATACATCCCACTATGATAAGGTGCTTTATACCGATGCATCCCGAAACACAGGTGAAGTTGGCTGATCTGTCACTACAGTTGATACAGTATTGGAAAATACCGATATCCAATGAATGTAGCGTGTTTTCAGGAGAACTCTTTAGTATTTCAAAAGCTCTCGAATTCTCAATTGACAATCATCAAAGTGTAGCTCTGTCCTTATCCGCAATTTATTCGTCCAAAAATACAAGAATCGATCCATCTCCACACTTCCCCAGAGACTTCAATATCAATAATATGGGTGCCTTTTCATATCGGCACCCAAGGAAATGAAATAGCTGATAGCGCTGCAAAAGAAGCATCTGCATCCAACTTACCTGTCTACAACATACAGCTCCAAGAAGATTTAAAATCAAAATTCAAAAGGAATATCCAAGACAAGTGGCAGGAACTTTAGATCACCAAAAATACAATGCGCAGAGAAATACAACCTAATGTTAACAGCTATTTAACCCTAGCATCTTTGAACAGAAGAGAGAAGATAGCAATATGAAGATTGAGAATTCGACACACACGTTTGACACACGGTCATCTTATGTTCTCTATACACCAATAGTTATGCTCCCACTGCAACGATATTCCTATTACCGTCAAGCATATCCTCACATAATGTCAACACTACCAGGCCACTCACATTGCCAACAATATAACCTACAGTCTAAAAGAACTTCTGAACTCTTCAAGCTGACTCAAGAGCCTAATAGAATTTTTCAAGGCACAATTGTTTAACAAAATATAATTTACATAATATTGTTATTCTTTACTATTGTAAACTCTGTATCATAACTCTGTAGGTGCTATTGTAAACCTATGCTGCCGTGTCAATGACGTAAGATGTCGAGACACGTTAATTCGAAATAAAACATAAGATAAACAAGCAGAGGATAATCAGAAAGAAACAAGAAACAATAAATGCCCAGTTTGAATTATTTGTACTGCCATTAAAAAACATTTTAATAGTAACAGGTTGTGAAAAATGAATGTGAAAACTGTATCTACTTTCAAAGAATGATATTCAAAAATCAGTTCGGGTTTTTGTCTAATAAATGCACTAGTGATGCCATATTTTCTGTGTTACATGATGTATATCTATCACTAAACAGTAACCTCTCCTCCGCCACCGTTTTCTGCGACTATTCCAAAGCCTTTGACTGCGTAAATCACGACATTCTATTAAAAAATTAACTTTCTATGGAATTCGGGGTGTGTCTTTGAACTGGTTCAAAACTTACTTGGTAGGTAGGAAACAATTGGTTAGAATAAATGACACCGACTCTAGTTGTAAAGATATTGAGTGTAGAGTACCGCAAGGTTCAGTATTAGGTCCCATTCTTTTTTTACTTTTCATTAATGGCATCACTTACTTGAAAATTAAAGGGAAAATTTTTCTATTTTCTGATGATACCCGTATTACTTGGAGCAGCTCTGATATTTCAACGCTTCATTCAATTATAACCGCTGATTTACTTATCAAGGCTTGGTCAGACTCCAACTTACTTAGCTTTAACGTGGATAAGACTGTAGCATTATCTTATAAAGGAGTCATGCAACCCTTGCTTTTGAATGAGAGCCAAATCAATATCGTAAATTCCGTGAAATTTCTAGGTATTCTCATTGACAGTGATCTCAAATGGTCCTTGCATACTGACTCCTTAAGGAAGAAACTAGCCTCAGCTTGCTTTGCAATAAGATCTGTTTCGAAGGAACTAAATTTATCTTCTGCCAAAATGGCATATTTCTCATTGTTCGAGTCCCATCTTCGATATGGGCTTCCATTTTGGGGTTCTAGTACAGCGGCCCAATTTGATACTATTTTCAAGTTGCAAAAAAGAGCAATCCGTTATCTATTTGGTCTCAAACAAACAACTCATTGCAAGACCTACTTCAAAAATCACGGAATTTTGACGCTTCCCTCTTTATTTATTTTGGAAACGGTTTGTTTGATTCGAAAGCATCTAAACATTTTTCCCGATAGACCTGACCATGGCTACTCCATTAGAAATTCGGATTGTAACGTTTATTTGCCGATCCCGTCCACTCAGCTAGTAAAGAATTCTATTCTATATCGTGCAAAGAAACTTTATAATCACCTTCCAAGAGAAATTAAATCCGCAACATCCTTCATTAAGTTTCGTAAGGTGACAAAAATCTATCTCTCAGAAAGACCATATTATTCAGTTGACGAGTTTCTTAATGTATAACAAAGAAACAAATTAGTATTGTTTATAATTACATTTGGGTGTCTCAAGCAGTGGCTACAATTTGTCTCATTTGTTGTTGTCTGTACAAATTATGTAGGTTATACAATAATTTTACTAATATAAAATTGTGTTATTCTGTTTTTTACTATATTTGTTTTTGTTTTATACTTTTTGTACTATTTGACTGATTTATTTTTTATCTTTGTCCATAAAATTGTTCAATAATTTTCAATGACAATAAAGCATATTTCTATTCTATTCTATTCTATTTTAATAACTATATCAACAACATAGCAACCTTATTACTATATAATATATGACCACCAACAAACTACGAAACTAAAATATTTAAATGCCATAGCCTACTATAATTTATGTTATTCTCGAAGATTGGTTGCATACTCACCCAATTTAAGGGGTAGTCTTTTTCTGTGCCTGTTGCGCCCTCTTCTCCCATTCTGCCTTTCTCTGACTAAAGTTCTTAGGTTCCATAATAAAATCTCCATCTGAAGGAATGTTACTCAGTAAATCGTCTTCTTTCATGTTTGCATCTTCGTTTTTAATATTAGAAATCCATTGGTCGGTCTTTCTATGTTCGCTGAAACCCATCTGCTTCTTGATTATTAAATCGGAATTCTTCGTGGCATTGATAGTCACAGCCCTTTGTCCCAAAAATACATTATTGTTTAGAGTCCTTCTTAAAACGACCGGGGAAGTTTTGTTGTCAACTGAAGACTCTTTAACTGGAGACTTAACCTCTAGTTTCTCTTCAATCTTGGTCTTAATTTCAATGGCTTGAGTCTCGAAGCTCTCCGATTTCTTTCGTTCTTCTACGGGTGAATCGATTTGATTTTCTTTATCGCTATCTCTAGCTTTCATGTCTTTTAAAGAATCTTGAAGAGCGTCAACATCACTGTCTTTAATCTTTAAGGAACGCCTTGCGAAAACTTTCATTAGTTCTGGTTCCTCTTCATTCTTCTTTGTTGCTACAGACTTTCTACGTAACACAACGGTTTCACTTACAGGACTGTCCTTTTCTTTATATCTTGCTTCAAGTTTATCCAGACTATCTTGCGATGACTTGTCTGTATCGTTCAAGGAATCTAAGCTTGCAGATTTACTCTTAAACACAGCTCTTTCCCTTACAGGTGACTCTACATTTGAAGTATTTGAAGTAATAGAAGATTTCCTAGAATCACTTTTCTTCAATCTAATAGGAGAGTTCACCGTTATAATTGGAGAAGTTTTAGGCGAAGATGTGTCTTTCTCGATAATTTCAACGTTTTCCTTACTGAATTTCCTAGGAGTAGGTGGTTTGGCAGTCACATCAGTCTCTACATCAAAATTAAACAAAGTCTTAGGTCTGTTTTGTTCTTCAGCTGGTTTGGGTGATTTCATTGAAAATACAATATTGCTAGATGGTTTGATTTCAACTTTATTGAGTTGTTTGTTCATAAACTCCGGTACTGTAATAGAACTCTGAGTTACTTGAGTAGTTTCTCGTTTGACTTGTATTTTGGTAACAGAAACCTGTTGTTCTTTAATGGATATAGTTGTAGAGCCATCGATGTGTTCGGAAGTTTGATTTTTCGACAAACTATTGTAGTCATCAACATTGCTGGTAACATTAACAACAGCTGTATGACTTGGCCCTGAAATAGTTATAGAGGAATCTCCTAGGCTAGAAGAAACTTCTAATTGTTTTTCTTCAGTCTTAAAATTCAAAGGTTTTTTCTTCAGTTCTATCTTGACCTCGGATAGATGCATTGTCTCGTCGAAGTTTTTTACACTATCCAAGGAAGCAGCTTTGGTGAAAGAAATTTTACTGTCTTCTTTCTTTTCTAAGTCCAAAAAGTTCGCTGTCTTATTTTTAACATCTTCATAAGTTCTTTCAGGGCTGAAAGGCTGATGTTTTACAGCTTTAAAACTGTGTGACTTAGAGATCGGTCGGGAAGGTTTGTTCTCAGTTTGAAGATCAGTCAACGACATGAAGCTATTCTCATTGTCTTCTTCATTTAGAGATAAGACACGTTGTTGCAAAGAGGACAGAGCTGGCATTTTTAATTTGTGTCTGGTTTCGTCACTTTTTACTTTTGTTTCGGTAAATCTCATGTTGGTAGAGTGCCTTGATACTTGGGAGTAATCGTATTTGGAGGATATCACAGTTGGTATGTTGGGGCTTTGAAGATTTCTTGTTATTCGTGGGGAAGCAGGACTTTTAGGTGACGGCGAGGAATCTGCAACTCTTGGAAACGGTGTTGGACTCGTGGAAATCTAAAAAAAAATCATATTTTAGATATTACTTAGTCATATAATAAGATAGTAGTAAATATAAATGACAAAATTGAATCATCACACCATCCCATCAAAGACGGATATTAAATATCCACGCATGATAAGACTCAACGAGATTGAGATAACATGGTTACGGTATTGTTTACCAATTTAAACATAAAGCTTTTCTGGAAGATATAAATGGAAATTTTCTAACGAAACGTAGGATTTTTAATACAATTACTGAGATTCCCTGATTTGCAATTAACCAGTGTAAATTTCAATACAACGCGAAGTCGCGATGTTTTATAATTAATATGTTTTTTTTTTGTTATTGAGTTAATGCCTCGACAACTAAGGTCATTGGCATGGTACAGTCAGGTAAATAGTGTAGTGTGTATGTGTGTGTGTAGAGTAATTGTCTTGATACTTAGCAAGGTCGACGTCATTGTCTTTGCTAAGAGACGCTAATTGTATCCGAACGTCTGCGGTCCCTCCGGTGAGTACCGATCGCACAAGGATAGAAATTATTTTCATTCATTAATTTTTAATAAACGAAAATTTCTCCACCCAGATGAGATTCGAACTCACGACCTTTAGGTTTAAAGGTAGGCGCTCTTACCACTGAGCCACAGAGGGGGTTAATTAATATGTTTGTTCCACTGGATTGCTGCTGTTTTGCGATTCGTAGCCGTAGCGGCTTATTTAACACGTGCACGCTGATATTGTTGTTTCGTCTACCGATTTTTCTTGAAACTCCGTTTGGGATACTCGTAATTCTGGATTTTTGTGCAGATAATAATAATGTTTTATTGACAACAATTTTGTCTGTGTTCATTAGGTATTATATGAATTGGTTAGTTTATACTTTAGTATATTTATTATTCCAAATATTGTTTATAATTTAAAATTTAAAAGGGTGTATATGATATATCAAAATCTACTGATTTTTGCGAAGGTATCTACCGATTTGGCAACAGTCCCAAGGAAGATCACTGACCGAGCAAATCAAATACCGCTGCTTCTCATTATAAAACCATAAGCTGAAATTAAAGTAGTGTTTCTAACCATGTATATAGTAAGGGACAAGATATATGCGAAATTTTAAAGACCAACCTGCTGATAATCCGCTATTGATACCTATTGTAACACAAAACTCTAAAGAGACATTACAGAGTTGTACTTTATCAACATTCAAATATGTACCTTTTGATGAAGATAGGTTTGAAAAGTGGAACAACAAGAAAGGATTTGGAAACTCCATAAAAATATTCAACCTCACCTCTTGGAACCTATTAGTGAGACAATATATAATATGAACGCAGCTAAAGTTATGCCTAACCTAAACAATATCATGGCAAAATTAAAAGAAAAACATATTGTTGATGATTGTTTCACAAAGACTTTGGGAAAATTTTTGTCCAAAAATGGTTTTAAATATAAAACTGTCAATAAGAGACAAACCATAATTGAAAGTAGGCGCCTAATAAAATGGAGCAACGAATATATCGAAAAAATTTCACAATACCGCAGTGAGTGTCGAGAAATTTATTATCTGGACGAGACTTGGTTTGATTCTCACGAAAGGATAGATAAAGCCTGGACAAACGGTACAAGAAAATGCCAAATAGATGTACCCCGTTCTAGAGGCAAGCAAAGTTGCATATTACATTGCGGAGGACAACATGGATGAGTGAACAATGCGTTATTGTTGAGTTCCAAAAGTAATAAATACAGTTCTCTAGACTACCACCAAGACATCGAAGATACGCTTTTTGAATCGTGGTTTGAGAATACATTACTCCTAAATTAAAAAAACAGTAGCATGATTGTTATAGACAATGCATCATATCGCTCCAGATGCATTAAAAAAATTCCAACCAAACAGAGTAGGAAGGATGAAATTCAAGAATTTTTAATAGCCGAAGACCTATATTTTGAGGATCATTACACCAAAGATCAACTAATCCAGGTTCTTCATACAAAAGTCGTAACTAAAGAACATATTGTGGATAAATTAGCCACTAATAATGGACATATATGGTTTTAATATTACCTCCATATTACTGTGTGTTGAATCCCATAGAATTTCTATGGGATCAGTTAAGAAACCATGTCCGGAGGTACAACACATCTCCAAAAGATGCCCAAAGTGTTGTCGAACTAATAAATACAGAGTCCACAAATATCAGTGCTCACAACTGGTAAAATGCAATAGAACATGTAAAGAAGATTGAAAAAGATTACATGAAAAATGTACCAGCCTTGAAGAAAATGTTATTTGGCTGAGAGTGATGAAGAGAACGATAATGACGATGAGTTGGAATAACTGTTAACTCTAACTGAAAGATCCCAAATGAATGTGAATTTTCGAAGTGGCTAGTATACCATTTAATTTATAATAGTAAAAAAATCAATGGGTAACTTTTTGTGGCATCGCAGTGTGAAAAAAATATATTGGTGTTTTTGTTAATTCGACTATATTAGGACGGTGATAGATATTTACTGATGATTTGTTAATATATTCATTCATACTTCACTTGGTCTATTTGTCACTATCTCCGATAAACAAATGTAAACAAGGCGGTTATGGGTTAGTCTTAATTTTGAAAAAAGGTGAAGGTAAATTTTTCTAAATAATATATTATGAGGTAGTTTAATTTAAAAATAATCAGTATTTCTATCAATTGGTAAAAACATTTAAGTATACAAATTAATAATTCGAAATTCAACACTTTCTCCGATAATTTTATTTGGATGTTGGATACAGATTAGTACAACTCTGCAAATGTCTCTCTAGTTGTCTGTGTTACAATAGGTATCAATATCGGATTACCAGTATGTCGGTTTTTAGAATTTCGTATAGATCTTGTTCCTCACTTTACAAACGAAGGAAAAGAACAAATTTTAAAATTGTATTTTGGGGGCTACTCGTATTCTCACATTATAAATTTATTTACTTGTGTGTACGAATATAGGTGAATACTGACACAACCAACTATTAGTCGTATTATTAAAAAAATTAAATCGTCTGGTTGTCTACAAAACTGTCGAAAATATACGGATCTACCACGAGACAAAACATTCAACGAAGTACAGCAAAATAGGGAAATTGATGTTTGTAGGGTTGCTGAAACTAGTGATCCTTGTTGAAGCAAAACCATTGCTGACGAAGTTGACATGAATGATACGACTGTCAGGAATATTTTGAATTGAAACGGGTACCGTTATTTTAAAGTTTCAACTACTCAAGAGTTAGTTTTTAAAGTTACAACTACTCAAGAGTTAGTTTTTAAAGTTTCAACTACTCAAGAGTTAGTTTTTAAAGTTTCAACTACTCAAGAGTTAGTAGCCGAGGATAATTTTAAACTTATGGAATTTTGTGAACTCATATAAACAAAATGAAAATAATGATTTTTTAAAGAACGTTTTATTTACCAATGAATCAACATTTTCGTTACATCGGAAACAGTTGAGTTGTGTCCAGTACAAACACAATATCCCCAAAAACTTTGTTTGGGCAGGTATTTTGGGGGACTATATCGTCGGTCCATTTTTTATTGGTGGAGATTTAACGGGAAATAAATATTTAGAATTGTTGCAAAGTCAAATTATTCCGGCAGTTCAATTACTTCCTGTAAACTTTCATGATATTTAGTTTCAGCAAGACGGCTGTCCTGCTCACAATACATTAGCGGTTCAAAATTATTTAGAAACCATTAATTTCTTCTCGTGGTCCGATCAAGTGGCCTCCTAGATCACCAAGCTTATCCCCAAATGAGTTTTTTTAAATATATTTGAAACCAAGTGTTTATCGACATGGTTTTAAAAGGACCCGAAATTTAGCGGAATTAAGGCAGAAAATAATTCATCTTTGTGGGAGCATTATACCGAAACTGCTCAGGGATATAAGAGTATCTCTGTACAAAAGATTCGGTTTTTGCTCTACAGAGAGAGGTGGAATATTTGAACCTCTATTAAGTTACATTTTTTTTAACCATATTCAGCCATACGGCTCACGCTCCCTCTAAGGGGAAAATTCACTCATCCCAGATACCTACGGTATCAAAAGGATTGAGCTCTGGTGGGACTCTTTCCGTGTTATCGAGCACTAGGTGACTCGATATACTGAAGTATCTCCCACAAATTTTAGTACACATCTGGACGTTGATAGTAGTGCAGCCTTCTGCATGGTCTTGTAGAGATGTTCATTCAGACCTAGCTTTTTTATGTTTTCTATGAGGTTTTTTGGAATGAATCCAGTAGTAGAGATAATAATTGGTATTGTCTGGGTACTTTCCATTCTCCACTGTCTTCGTATTTGAATTTCCAGATCCCTGTGAATGATGCTGAAAGGTGAAGTTAGAACAGTGGGTCACACTTTTTGATTTAGAATGCGTGAGTTTGACTGTGGGGAAGGAGAAAATGCCCTTCTGAGAATGATGCCGAACTAGGAGTGTGGATGTGTATGAATGGAGAATGAATGAATAAAGGTAGTGCTTCGGAAGTGATGCCGGCCTTACAGCGGCCATTCCGCTTCCGGATCGCTGGATGACAGAGGAGGGTCTGGTTTAGCAGGTAGGCGTTCGGCGTAGACTCGGCGACGAGAGGGCATTTTAAAGTACCTCTGGAACTATCGCCGGGAGTACGAAGAACGAATCCTGCACTAAGGTCAGTCAGGCGGCGTCCTGGACTGAGATGTCTTTTGAAGATTCCAGACCCCCCCCCCCAAAAAAAAAGATCCCTGTACTTGGCGATTTTTTCGTTCTGTTTAACACGAAGATTATTGTTGTTGGGTATCGCCACATCAATTAATGTTGTTTGTCTCTTTAGTTTATTAACTATAATGAGATCTGGTCTATTATGTGCCACTGTTTGGTCTGTGAGCTCACACTCCCAGTATAGCTTGTACTCGTAGTTGTCATTCTCAAGTATACTCTCAGAAACGTATTGATAATATGAAAGACGGTTTGTTTGGAGCAATCCCAGTTTGATGTCTATCTCTTGATGAAGGATCTTTCCTACTGAGTCGTGCCGTTCCTTATATTTAGTTGCAGCAAATGCCTGACAGTCCCCGGTAAGATGTTGTTGTTTTTATTATTAATATTATATTATTTTTAGAATTCCTTTTTATTTTTAGAAATCTAATATTTTTCAAGCCATTTTGGCAATAAAATAACAATTTTTTTTAGTTAAATAATATTTTTAAGTTCATATCTACGTAAAACTGTACGTTTTTGACGAATTGACATGCACTATACCTGTGTTCCGCTTTTACACTAGCGGCTAGATTTACCATACGATGATCGCTTGGGTTTGTTAAGGTGCTGCAGTAGGATATCGACTGGAGACGGAGTCCAGTCGAACAAATGAATTAATTATAAAACATTGCGACCTTGTATTGAAATTTACACTGGCTAATTGCAAAAATAAAATGCCGTGTAGTAAAAATCTTACCTGTCTTTGCTTAAATATACTCTCCAATTCAGCCTGTAGCGGGGAAGTACCTTCAATCGTAGACGGCTCAGGCGATAATTTTGGAAGAACAGGCTCTCTCTTGGGTTCGTCCAAATTTTCAGTTATGTCCATAGGCATCATCCTCTGTCTCAACGCTGCCCCAGATCGTGGGGCTGGTATCGGCTTGGAAGTTTCTATTTTTTTTGTTACTATTGAAGAACTCTCCATGTATGATTTCCCAGAGTCTGTCACGGTTTCTTGTCTGGAAGTTTCTCTTGCTAAAAACGATAATATAACTTAGAATTATACGTAAACAAATTGAAGTAAACGATTTAAATACTCGGATTAACAGGTTTATACATATTTAGGTGTTACTCAACTAATGTTATAGTTAAACATTTGCTAGACCATCAGTTTATATTTTTGTATGAAATCACTCGAAATTTTACTAGAATTATTGATAAGCAAATTGAAGTAGACGTTAAAATACTCGGATTGACAAGATTATAGGTTTAGGTATTACTCAAATAACTTTATAGGCTAACAGTTGCTAGACCATCCGTTTATATTTTATATGAACCCATTCAAAGTTCTGTTGTGGAGTCCACTGTCACAGAACACGACACATTGGTTATGTACCATCATAATGTTTCCAAAAGGAAATCAATGAATCAATGAAACTCTTCAAAGAAAAACTTTCAATCTACCACAATCAAAGAGTGGCGGCCACAATGGTGTGCTGTCAGGGATGAATATTTTTTACTAGCATTGCAAGTCCATTGCAACTTTCTATAGTGTACACGTGTCTTTGTTGCATTGAATTAGGGACAAAATTGCTTATAAAATGAATAATTATTGCACGACAATACATCTATCCATACGGTCGTCATTTCAGAAGCTTTATTCTAGAAGTAAAGGTTTTAATTTTTTGGAAATTCTACTTTACTTGAACTGGACATGACTTCAACACTTCAAGCTATTATTTATTTTCTAATTTAAAAAAGCTTTTGGTAAAGAGCGCTTTACGTAAAATAATAAGTTAAAAGTAATTATAATGATCTGTCATAAGATGTATGGAAATGGGCTGGACACAATGAGCGTCTCCAAGACAGATGATGGAACAATGCCATCGGAAAGTGGCGTCCATACAATGCAAAGAGATCAAGAGGAAGACCACATATTTAATCTTGGTGGCTACATTCATGTACTCCTAGACACTGATGATGGAACATGGTTTCCGAAAACGTTTTGTCTTTTTAACTTAGCCCGTTTGGGCCTAAAATATAGCTATTACAAAGGATTTTTAATTAAATTTTTAATACATGGTATACAGCCAACTACAGGAACGTAGATTCCTTGTGGATATTATTTAAAATTATGGATTTTAAGTTTTAACTAAAGTAGCTATGTGTATGTCATATTGTTGTTTTATTTATTGTTACAATAATTTTTGAAATAAAATAAAATAATGTTTTTAGGAGAAGGAATCTCCTGGTTTCACTTCGATGTTAATGGAAAACTGTCATATTTTAAAATTTGACATAATTTTTATGAGTCTAGCATCATTGATCAATCAGTCAATCGCGTCCACTGCTGGACATAGGCCTCCCTCAGTTCTTTCCAGTGTTCTCTACACTGGGCCACTTGTAGCCAGTTTCCCGCTACACGTTTTATATCATCGGTCCATCTAGTCGGTGGTCGTCCTCGGCTTGTTTTATAGTTTCTGGGCCTCCATTCCATAATACGTCTTGTCCACCGTCCATCTTGTGTTCTGGCTAAGTGCCCTGCCCAGTTCCACTTAAGCGTCGTGGTTCTTTCGATGACGTCTTGAACTCCTGATCTTTGCCTGATTTGTTGGTTTGTTATGCGGTCTCGAAGGCTCACGTTCAGCATTGTAGGTTCCATGGCTCGTTATGTAACTCTGAGTTTATTCGCAGATTTTTGTGTAAGTGTTAAAGTCTCTGCTCCATAAGTTTGTACAGGCAAAACACCTTTTGCTTGAGACACATGGAAATCGAACTTTTAGAATATGGCTTAATTTGCCAAATTCTGCCCATACCAGGCCTATTCGCCTCTGTATTTCATGTGTTTTATTGTCTCTGCTTATTTTAATTTCGTGTCCCAGATATTTGTGTCTGTTTGTTATATGGTATTATTGTCAATAGTTATATTTTCACTCATTACGAGATTTGTCATAAGTTTAGTTTTCTCAAATTTTTTCATCTTTAGATAAGGTTCTTACATTATACGTAATTATGTGCAGCGTTCGTCGTTCTTGGTAGCCTCCTACAACCAGGGGATTTTTCGCATCCTCTGCCCGCTGTCCGTGAGTTCTATCGCAATCTTGGTTGGGAACTAGCGAGCTGCCGGGGACTGAGGGCAGTTTTCTTGAATATCTGTTCATGCTGAGGGGGTTTTAGCATTTAAACACCACGCTAGAATCATCATCATCACTTATTTTGCGATTATTACGATGAGTAATGATCAACCCGATATATTGTTAACCTTAAAACGCGTAATAAAAAATAATAATATTTGCTTCACTGCAGCATTCTGTAAGACTTTGATTGAGAATAATTTTTAAATATAATAACCACTTTATTTTGGTTCCGTAGAAATGTTGGTTATTATCCACGTGAAAAAGAGTAACTAGTGCATTCTAGTTAAAACGAACAATTAGTTCTAAGTAGTCAGTTTTTAAACTGACTGTAAATATTCGCGAATTACGTTAACTTTGGTTTTCATATTTTCAGATTCACAAATTTTTGATCAAAAATCAACCCTTCATCTTACACTTATTCTCAGACCCCCTTACACCGATCATTATTGCAAAAGTTTGTAGTGAAAAATATAATCTAAATTATCAATCTTTTTTTTTGGCTTAATACTATAGGGAATTAAGTTCTCGGGACATCATCATCATACTGGTTTTACAACCCTGTGTAGTTCCTACTTCGATATTCCTCATGTCTTCATCGATGACCAACGAACCTTGTTCTAGGTCTTCCTCTTTTTCTCTAACCAACGGTTCTGTAAAGGAGAGTTTTTCTAGCTGGGTGATTTTGTTCCATCCGCATTACATGCCCTATATACGATATCTGGTTCCTGGTATATTCTATAGAGTTCTAAGTTGTATCGTTTTCTCCACACTCCACTGTCATTCACTGTTCCTAAGATTCGCCATAGTACTTTTTTCGAAACATCCCAACATCCTTTCATTATTTTTTGTTAGAGTACAGATCTCTGAGAAATATATAAGGACTCGGCCTATTATTGTTTTGTAGAGGTTACGCTATGTTGACGACTGTCTAGTCTTTATTTCAAGTAACTCCAAATCAACTGAACTATTACTTTCTAAAATTAACCAAATCCACCTCAACATTACGTTCATCATGAAACTAGAATAATTCCAATCAATCAACTTTGTTGATCTCACTATTACCAGATTAAATGACCATTTCGACTTCTATCTATAAGAAACCCACACAGACTGATTATGTAATACCCTTCTCTTCAAATCACCCCATGCAACATAAATATACAGCTTTCAAAAGTTACATCCATCGCCTGGAAACCATTCCACTATCTTAGTCGAACTATAACAAAGAATTTAATACCTTCAGACAAATAGCAGTCAATAATGGATGATATGATCATAGCATCATTAATAAACTCATCCATAGAAGACATCTTAAAACCCTACAAGAGGCTGCATTCCCCAGAGACCTTACCACTAAACCTTATTATGTTTCACTTCCCTGTCATCATGAGAGTCTTTCTGGAGATATTCGAAATCTCATCAAACGTTCAGTAATTCCGAAGACCCCATCAATTATATGAAGCGTAGTGGTTTTTTTTTTTAACTAAAATGTTCAGGAGTTCAAGGTCTTCACGCTCTTTAGAGCACACAAAAAGAAAAAATACTTCCACTTTCTCTCAACATTTGAAAAAACATATTCACACTCTCAATATCCCAGACGACGTATCTCTTAGTCACAATATTCTCCAAAAAATCTTTCTAAAACTTGACTTATACGAAGATAAGATGAAAACAGAAAAGTCTAAATTGTATTAATCGACATGTTTCATTCCATCGAGACTTTCTACCTCTCCACCGCCAACTATTCTCATGACCCATATCCTCTACATCTTCTCGTACACCAAATTTCCACTAATCTTTCTCCTTTTGCCATTTATTCATCTTTATCAGTCCACTCCAAGCGACTCCTTCTAAATGCATTTAACCTTTTCATTACTCCCCTCCTTTTCCCAGTATGTTTTAAACGTCACCTCTAATCCTTATGCCTAATGTTCTTCATCCATCAATACTCCATAAGTAAATTTAGATCAGATAATTCCATCTGCGTTTATGACGTTCAGGTTTTATTAATTTCAACATCTATTCTATGCAACGTTTAACACTGAGGTTAGTTCAATGTCTAATATTCCTCAGCTAAAATGTCTTCTTTCTTCTCAAGCCTTTTCTTCCCTCTACTCTTCCTTGCATGATGGCGTGTCTTCTTCTTTTTATAGTACCGTGCACCTATAATGCGTTTACGAATTATCTTAAAGCCAGACGTCTACCTTTTGCAGCATTCAAAAGCTCGCCAATATTAATTATGCCTGTCTACTTCTTTATATTTCAAGGCGGAATATAAAAACGCAAGGGATTGCGTTTTTTTTCCTTTCGGGATATGGCCCAGATGTCAAATTTTTCGTACCTTCATCAAATTGACTATCTCAGTATTTGCCCATCTTATGACTTCCTCGTTTCTCATCTAATCTGTTTGAAGGATATTTTTAACGTCCATGTCTCCAAGCCATATAACAATATGGGCCATACATAGCATTTCACCATCCTGTAGCGGAAATTAAAGAAAAAATTTAGTGTTACATAGTAGCGGTTTAAATATATAATAAAAAAATAAAATCTTATCTTACTTGTTCGGTATGGCATTTTATTTCTTGTTGAGAATCCCATTGGTCATTCACTATCATTCCCAAGTATTTGGATGTTTTCACTTGCTCGATTGGAGCGTTATCTACTTGCAGCCGTATTCTTAAAAGTGCATTTTTTTCTTATTGCCATGAATTTAATTTTTCCAGCATTTATCTTTAAAGCCATATATTTTCCTACAGAATTTATTTTATTTAGCATCAACTGCATATAATGTTCGTTGTTATTTATCGGGTACCTGTTGACCTTATAGGTAATCACGTAGGTTACGAAGCCATGATGGTCTTCGTCGACCAGGACCTCTTTTTACACATATTTTGC